TTTTATTTCTATATTTTGAATTATCATCTGTTGTTCTATTTTGTTGATGCGAGTGTCTAAGCTATTTATTTGTTTTTCTTTTATTTTGTCTTTTTCGTTTAGTTCGTTAACTTGAGCAACTAATGAGGAGATAGAATTGGTTATTGTTGTTAGTGCCATTTGCACATCATTTTTCATTTGGGCTTGTAAGCTATTGACACTAGCTACAAGCATCTCTATTTGGGACTTTATCTCCTGCATATTTGATTGTAAGGTGTTTAGTTTCGTATTAACTGCATCAAGAGATAACGACTCTTTATATTTTTTCGCTCCTTCACTTTCATCGAAACTATCGTCTTGACGTAGTTGTTTTTGTTGTTGGTTATTTTCGTCAAAGACTACAACTTGGTAAAGGTTTGTGGGAGATCTGCTACGCGGCTTGCACACGTGACACTTCCAATTTTTTCTCTTCTCACTGGTCATGGTGGAATATGTCGACTCAGATAAAGGAGAACAAGGAGAGAAATGATAGGTTGAGTTGCAATTGTAGCATTTCACAAAGTTTGTTGTTGTGATTGGCATTTTACATTGGTTACATATCACACTGCTCATTTTGTTGTATTTATTCTTTTTATTTTACTTGTGTTGATTTATATTTATTTTATAGATTTGATTTAAAATATTTCCTTTTATATGTTTAAATATTAACACTTTTGTATTATTTTATTTTTTCTTTTGATTTTGGAAACACTATTGAGTTTGTTTGATATTTTTAAAAGGATTTTTTGGACAATTTTACTTGTTTTTTCTCACAATTTAGCCAGCACGGTTTAAAACACGTCCGTATATGTTCGCAACGAAACTAGTTCTGTTCTAGTTCTGTTCTAGTTCTGTTCTAGTTCTGTTCTAGTTCTGTTCTAGTTCTGTTCTAGTTCTGTTCTAGTTCTGTTCTAGTTCTGTTCTAGTTCTGTTCTAGTTCTGTTCTAGTTCTGTTCTAGTTCTGTTCTAGTTCTGTTCTAGTTCTGTTCTAGTTCTGTTCTAGTTCTGTTCTAGTTCTGTTCTAGTTCTGTTCTAGTTCTGTTCTAGTTCTGTTCTAGTTCTGTTCTAGTTCTGTTCTAGTCTGTTCTAGTTCCGTTCTAGTTCTGTTCTAGTTCTGTTCTAGTTCTGTTCTAGTTCTGTTCTAGTTCTGTTCTAGTTCTGTTCTAGTTCTGTTCTAGTTCTAGTTCTAGTTCTGTTCTAGTTCTGTTCTAGTTCTGTTCTAGTTCTGTTCTAGTTCTGTTCTAGTTCTGTTCTAGTTCTGTTCTAGTTCTGTTCTAGTTCTGTTCTAGTTCTGTTCTAGTTCTGTTCTAGTTCTGTTCTAGTTCTGAGTTCTGTTCTAGTTCTGTTCTAGTTCTGTTCTAGTTCTGTTCTAGTTCTGTTCTAGTTCTGTTCTAGTTCTGTTCTAGTTCTGTTCTAGTTCTAGTTCTGTTCTAGTTCTAGTTCTAGTTCTGTTCTAGTTCTGTTCTAGTTGTTCTAGTTCTGTTCTAGTTCTGTTCTAGTTCTAGTTCTAGTTCTGTTCTAGTTCTGTTCTAGTTCTGTTCTAGTTCTGTTTCTAGTTCTGTTCTAGTTCTGTTCTAGTTCTGTTCTAGTTTCTGTTCTAGTTCTGTTCTAGTTCCTGTTCTAGTTCTGTTTCTAGTTCTGTTCTAGTTCTGTTCTAGTTCTGTTCTAGTTCTAGTTCTAGTTCTGTTCTAGTTCTGTTCTAGTTCTGTTCTAGTTCTGTTCTAGTTCTGTTCTAGTTCTTTCTAGTTCTGTTCTAGTTTGTTCTAGTTCTGTTCTAGTTCTGTTCTAGTTCTGTTCTAGTTCTGTTCTAGTTCTGTTCTAGTTCTGTTCTAGTTCTGTTCTAGTTCTGTTCTAGTTCTGTTCTAGTTCTGTTCTAGTTCTGTTCTAGTTCTGTTCTAGTTCTGTTCTAGTTCTGTTCTAGTTCTGTTCTAGTTCTGTTCTAGTTCTGTTCTAGTTCAGTTCTAGTTCTGTTCTAGTTTTGTTCTAGTTCTGTTCTAGTTCTGTTCTAATTCTGTTCTAGTTCAGTTCTAGTTCTGTTCTAGTTCTAGATATCTTCTTATTCTATTTCTAGTTCTAGATATATCTATATTCTATTCTAATAATGTGTTCCTTTAAATCTAGATCAATTTTCCAGTTCTTTTAAATTATTAAATTTTCTATAACGAAATATTTTTAAATTCCCTAAATCTTTATAAAATATTTTCATATATAAGATTTAAGTCCTAGTCTTATGGAATTACAGAAAGTAAGTAAACTAAGTAATCAATCATTAGAGAAAATAAAAAAAATCCAACAAAATAAACTTAATTTTCAATAACAAAATGACAACACGGCAAAAGTGAAAAAATAATAAAGAGATTTAGAGAGGAAGAAGGAAAGTTGGTCACAAAAAGAGAAAACACAAAATAAGGTTTTCAAAACCAAATTATCCTGAAAATACCATAAATTGCTATTGTGTGTCAATGCGTATATACACAAAAATACAAATGTGTTAGTGTGTGTATATGTATGTTCATGTAAAAGTGAGTGTTTTGGTTGTTTGACTCTTGACATAACGACAACTAATCAAATTTGAATTTACACGGAAAATTAGACTCAAAGCATCACAAAGTGCAACGGAAGCGGAAACAGTTGCACTATCACACTGATAGTTTAATACATATATATAAACAGACTCTAACTAACGAGTATATATGTATGTGTATATGTATGAGTGAGTGGCCACAACTTTGTTGCAGCAAATACAAAATGAATATTTGTATGTATGAATGTATGTTTGTATGTGCATTGCCAGCAAAAAAGCACATGTTTATGCATTGTTTGTTATGATGCTGATGTTGCTGTTGCTACTATGTGTTATTATTATTGTTTTTGTAGTTGTTACATGTTCATGTGCTTTTATATGTATTCTTAGTATAAAACTTTAACAAAGTTACCAGCAGCAGTAATAGTTAAAGTAGAAAAGTCTAGTGATGATGGTGCGTAACATTGACATAAACGACAGGAAAGTGACATGACAGCGTATAACTAACGGAAACATTGAAAATTGCGAAACAAATGTTAAATCTATGTTTAAAAGTGTCCATAGAGTATATGTATGTATAAGGGAGTATCTATTAAATGTAGCATACATGTGAGACATAGATACATATTTATCTACATTAGGTTTTATGTAAGGAAAAGTATGAGCTGGTATTTGTGTATTTTAGTTATCTAGTAAATCTCTGTGAATATGTTTGTAAATACTTTTTTAAATTTGAGAAGGTAAAAACGCATATTATGGGTTAATGTTGGAATTTATTCAAAGGTATTTTTTTAGGTTTTGTGTAATCTTTACAAATATATACAAAATATCAAAGTATGCAGGTCATGGATATAAATAAAGTCAACTTTGTAAGTTGTATAATTGTATAATGTATCAATATACCAGTTTTCCAACATATAATGACGTATGGCACGTACACAGTAGACAAACATTTTTTATAATGAGGCTCTTATATGACTAATAGAATTTGTTATTGTGTTATAAAACTGCTACTAGTTTTTATGAAGTGAATAAGTTATTAATGATTACAAATAAATGGGTACTATAGTACATAGTTTAGTCTATAGTCTAATCTATAGTTTAGTTTATAGTATAGTCTATAGTCTAGTCTATAGTTTAGTCTACAGTCTAATCTATAGTTTAGTTTATAGTATAGTCTATAGTCTAGTCTATAGTCTAGTCTATAGTCTAGTCTATAGTCTAGTCTATAGTCTAGTCTATAGTCTAGTCTATAGTCTAGTCTATAGTCTAGTCTATAGTCTAGTCTATAGTCTAGTCTATAGTCTAGTCTATAGTCTAGTCTATAGTCTAGTCTATAGTCTAGTCTATAGTCTAGTCTATAGTCTAGTCTATAGTCTAGTCTATAGTCTAGTCTATAGTCTAGTCTATAGTCTAGTCTATAGTCTAGTCTATAGTCTAGTCTATAGTCTAGTCTATAGTCTAGTCTATAGTCTAGTCTATAGTCTAGTCTATAGTCTAGTCTATAGTCTAGTCTATAGTCTAGTCTATAGTCTAGTCTATAGTCTAGTCTATAGTCTAGTCTATAGTCTAGTCTATAGTCTAGTCTATAGTCTAGTCTATAGTCTAGTCTATAGTCTAGTCTATAGTCTAGTCTATAGTCTAGTCTATAGTCTAGTCTAAAGTCTAGTCTATAGTCTAGTCTATAGTCTAGTCTATAGTCTATAGTCTAGTATATAGTCTAGTCTATAGTCTAGTCTATAGTCTAGTCTATAGTCTAGTCTATAGTCTAGTCTATAGTCTAGTCTATAGTCTAGTCTATAGTCTAGTCTATAGTCTAGTCTATAGTCTAGTCTATAGTCTAGTCTATAGTCTAGTCTATAGTCTAGTCTATAGTCTAGTCTATAGTCTAGTCTATAGTCTAGTCTATAGTCTAGTCTATAGTAGTCTATAGTCTAGTCTATAGTCTAGTCTATAGTCTAGTCTATAGTCTAGTCTATAGTCTAGTCTATAGTCTAGTCTATAAGTCTAGTCTATAGTCAGTTCTATAGTCTAGTCTATAGTCTAGTCTATAGTCTAGTCTATAGTCTAGTCTATAGTCTAGTTCTATATAGTCTAGTCTATAGTCTAGTCTATAGTCTAGTCTATAGTCTAGTCTATAGTCTAGTCTATAGTCTAGTCTATAGTCTAGTCTATAGTCTATTCTATAGTCTAGTCTATAGTCTAGTCTATAGTCTAGTCTGAATAATATTTCTAATTGAAGATTAGTTTATAAAGTAAATTTTAAACTGTACTACATACACATGTATTACAATATAGGGGCGTATTACGTAATATTTATCTGCAAATAATTATATATTAACACTCATACGAACGTATTAAAACTAAGAAACGAAACCAAATAATTACCCAATCAACAAAATATGTAAATCAAATAAATTGGTTTTCATTAACCCTTTTTCAACTTTTCTAATTTCAGAATCACCTCAACAACAATATCAGCAACAATCGAATAAAAATCATCCTAATGGTAGTATAATGACCGGTCTTGGTACCTTGTCTCATCACATACGAGCGCCACGACCACCCACCAGAACCGCTTCCTCAACAACAACACAATGTGGTTCGGGAGGTGGTGGAGGAGGAGGTGGTGGTGGCGGCAGTAACACTAATAATATGGGTGGTGGTTCTAGTTTAATAGATCAAACTCCTTCAAATGGCAGCAGTAGTAGCGGTGTTAGCAGTGCGCCCTCCTCTAAGGGTCATTCGCATCATCATGGTCATACGCATTCGCACAATTCAACAGCGGTGGATAATATAGGAATGACAGCGACATCATCATCAACGGGTGGAGCGCCACATCTGCAGCAACAAGTGCCACAGGCGGCCATGGATGAGATGCGCGTCTGATAGGTGTCGGTGTTCGAACTAGATTTATAGTCTTCTTGGTAAGTAGCTGGATAATTATAAAAGCCTTGATATGATAATAAGAATAGCCTTAAAGCATAGACTTAAGTATTTAAAATAAAATTGTTGCCATATTTTATCATTTATTTATGCATGGCTGTTTTGTCACGTTTCTCATTAAATGCGTTTAACTGTTTAGATGTTCTGTAAGCCTTCTTTGTGTTTTGTATCCCTTTTGGGTAGTAAAACGTTTATTCCTTATTATCCTTTTAATAATTATTATTGTCATTTCAATCAAAATGGTATTTGCATTTAAACTAATATCTCTTCTTTTCTTTTTTGCTTTGTCAGGAAACATTTCACAAAATGTAAATTGCAAAAATATTCATTAATAATTTTTATTAAAAACGAAATAAAAATACGTGAATAGGTGACATAAAATGTTTTATTGAAATGTAAAATTAAATTGAATTGAACGGTGATTATATCAACGAGCTTATAAATTATTGAATTAAAAGGAATTGAAGAACTAATACAGTAGAGTAGTAGTCTATGCTTTAAGAGAACAAGTGGTAATGAAGGTCCGCCACATGGGGATATTTAGCGTTAAAGTTATTTGACGGGATAACAAACTTTTTTTATAATCATCGTCCAAGTGTCCATAAGATATCTGGAGATTTTGGAAAGCTTATTTCATTAGCCATAAACGTGTTCTCTCCTTTAGAAATAGAAAATGTTTTTAAATGGATTTGGCTCTGATAACATTCTTATTAATATTATAAATTCTAGGGCATATATGTTTCGATCTAGCCGGATATAGAACGCTGACTTAATCTTTTGTTTCTTACGCTTAAACTTTAAAAGTTTTTCTTTAATCATGTCTTTTCATGCAGTTTTCGCCTTCATTTTCTGCTTTTTATTTTCTATTTTTATAAAACTTTTATACTTTTCCATTTCTCTCTTCATTATCTGTTGCGCTTGTGTGCACTTGACTAGGTTTTTATATTCATTCGCATTTCCGTTGTCTTGTCTTTGTAATTTCTTACACACATTTGCATACACAGACTCATACATTCATATTAACTGTTTTTTGCACATACATATAGACATACTTAAAATCATTCAACACTTTTCTATAGACAAAAATTAAAAAAAAGTTACAATAGAATAAAGTAAAAAAAAGTCAGTCAGTTTTCTTATCAATTGAGTTCACTGGCAACAAATTACAACAATTCTTAATGTGTTCTTTTTCAAGTTTCAACATTTATGCAAAATTAAGAGCAAGAAAAAATACGGGATTATAAAAGAAAAAGTTGAAATTTGATAAAGATTGTTTCTATACAAACAGGTTGGCATGACATTACAACAATAGAAGATTTAATAACGTTTTTAAATTACAAAATAGAAAGACAACAATTACGATTTAAATTCAAAAAAATTTAAAGCACATTTTACCAATTTTAATATACAGAAAACAATTTTAATGGAACAGCGATGATTCTAAAATTATGTTGAGTAGTTTAATTCTCTAGCAGTCTAAGCAATCAAATTTTAATTCCAGATATAAATAGAAATTCATATTCGAACAGATTTTAAATTTTTTCGCGAATATTCCAAGAATTAGTTTTCATTAGTTTTAAAGATTTCTTTCACTCTTTGAGAAATTAAGACTTATACATTTCTTTGTAATTAATATTTGTTTTCAAAATAAGATAATAAACAGATTTGAATTTATTCGCGAATATTTAAAGAATTTGTTTTTTATGGTTGTCTAGTTCTGCATCGCATATTAAGATTTAAAATTTAAAATTAACTTCCAATATGAAATATTAATAAGTTGTCTTAGTTCACAAGCATCGCAAAATTCTTTGAATATTCTCGAATGTAATTTGAATCTTCTTCTCCATAAATATTATTTTTTCTAAAGTTAAAATACTCTTAAGACCATTTTTACATATATAATTAACAAACTGTTTAGTTATCGCCTGTTTAAGGAATTTAATATTAAAAACCATTATTTTGCTTCAGTTATTCCTTAAAAATAAACATTTAAATATTTTCCTTTTATTCACATTTGAATAATAAATATTGCTACTATTTTGATACATAATGTAATTAAACTCTTAAAAATATATTTTATTACTTTTTGAAAATATCCTTAAGAATATTTTATTACTCGAAATATAAATAAATTTTTACCTTAAAAACAAACACTTCGATTTATGCTTAAGTTTGCAAAATTTTACTTTATTTATTTAGCCCATTGTTGAAGTTTAACTTAACAACTCAGTACCTTTAGTCAACAAAATTTATTTATTAAATCAAGATCTTTTAGAAGACTATACAAACTGTTACCTAACTTTAAGCTTTGCTCTCTGTTTTACCATTTGTTTAAATATTTAAACAATAAAAATGCATTAGTATTTCACTAGTAAGTACAAGTGGAAATATCAAAAAAAAAACTATAAAAAAAGAAGTGAAAATTTTCTTGTCGAGGTGTGTGTTTAAGAACCATGTTGCACTGAGTTCCAGGCACAGGAAACAATTTTCCTTATGTAGGTTATAATCACACCATACTTTGGTTAAAAAAGACTCTGTTCTCTGAAATCAAGTCAAGTCGCTTAGACTTGACTAGATTTCTTAGAATTACTTAAAAATTAACTTGTCTACTTGGAGACAATGAAGTCCTCTAAGAGTTCAAAGTAAAGTTTATACAAAAAGGATACACTGATTCCTTATAAATCCACCGGGAAGTAAATGCACTACAAACATTTCTATGTACACTTCTTGTATTTAAGCAGAAACTAACAAGCGTAAATGTTAATCAAGTGAGCAAAGACGTTCTTAGCCAAACATTCCACCGAAGGGAAAATAATGTAAATTTAATTGTATTCACAGGTGTAATAATGGCATGCAAAGTAGGAATAGTAAACACTTTCATACTAGCCATGTTACCCAGTAAACAATTTTTCAAAAATTTACAATTCTATATAAATGTTGTCTGTCACTATTGTCAAAGTTTAAGATAAACTGAAATATAAAACTTATCTGAACTATTTATACTCAAGCCAATGGTTTGTGGCTTTTCTAAGTGTCAAAGTCAAACACCCCCCTATTAATAGACCATTTGAGAATTTCTTTAATCAAACTCTAAATTATGGATGGAAACTTCAGTACTGTACTTATCGACAATACCGCAGTAGCTCCAGGTATCTTTTTATAACATAAACTCTAAGCAAACTAGTTCAAGGCTGGTTCACGAACTAGTTAGTAACTAGTACATATGTATGTACATATAGGGGATCATTCACTAGGTCATAGACTAGTTCATAGATATTTAATAGACTAGTTTAGAGAAAATGAAATACACTAATTCATAGACAAGTCAATAGGCTAATTCAAAGTTCAGTCACTAGGCTTCATGTATAGTGACTGAACTTAATAGTATAATCTGTAGACTAGTTCATAATGTCGTACATAGGTTAGATCTAGACTATTCCATAGATTAGGTAATCGACTATTCCATAGACTAATCAATGGGTTAGTCAATAACTCACTCGATAGACAAGTTCAGAACTAGTCCACAGACCAACTGATAGACTAGACATGGGCAAGGCAATAGACCTGTCCAAAGACAAGTCAAAAGACTACATACGTATGTAATTAGTTTTCGTGATAAGGGAACGTTTCCATTCTAGTATACTAAGATTTTGTTAAGCCTCCAAACTAACCCAAATACAAAATTTTAATTTGCCTCAAATTATGCTACACATTTCGGCATATAATTACTGATAACTTGAATGAAAAGAAATTAGTTCGAGGAATATTCTCGAGAATACAATAACTTTTACAAAACTTTCTGAAATCCATAACCGACAAACTTTCTCTAGATATCCCTAGCCAGTAATCCCTAACTGTAGGGTCTTAATTTTAAAGTTAAATACATACAATACAATAATTGTAAACTCATAATAAAGTGCACTTTTGTAAAAAAAAAAATTTGAATATTGTTGGCGCACTTTTTTATCCTTACAACAACACCAGCTACAAAAAGTGCAGGTGCCAGTTTCTTTCTTCATACTTTAACACTTTGTCGTACATTTCGTTACGTGTGGCGCGTAAAGTACTTTGAATATTATTAAAATAAATCTTGGCTGCAATGTTGCATAAAAGATGCAGGAAACCCTTGCATCCACAAGCATCCACACTAACAAAATAAATCCATTTGCACATAAATAAATTTTGTGGGAACGTTCACACAAGTAAAATGGTGCAAGTACCAGAGACCCAGCTGTACACTTTGCCAGTTTTTGAAGTGTGCTAAAGAACACCTTAATGACACACATAGGTGAACTTTAAACGCTGGCTTATATACATACATAGCAAAGTGTGTTTGTTTGAAATTATGTTGTTTGGTAACAAACATACATATACATACATATGTATACATACTTATATTAGAAGGCATGGGGCTAGTCAGCCAAACAGCCACACTTTATAAGTTGTTTTACCAGTTTAACAACAGATACTTAAACTTGTTTCATGTCCTCCAAAATATCCGTTTCCTGCTCTGCCAACTCTTCATCCAAATGTCATGACACAGTTAAATCAGCTAGTTTACTCGTGTGTTGTAGCCCCTACTTGGATGGTTGGTTGGTTGGTTGTTGGGTCGTTTGGTTTTGGCCTTTTGTTTTCATTTACTTGTTAAAAGTCCTGTTTTGTGTCATTGGTAAGAGTAAATATTTTGTTTGTTTTTTTATATTTTTGGCTTTTCTTTTGTTATAGTTGGCCGTTGTTTATATAAACAAAAACCCAAAAAAAAACTTTTAATTTATTTGGCAAATGTTTTCTGAAGAGTTCTTTTTTTCTACTTATTTATTTTGTAAAACTAGCACAAAAACTGATTTTAACATAAATGTACAAAAAAACAACAACCGTTTTTTTATTCACTAAATATTTCTTTCTACAAGAGTTTTTTTTTTTTTTCTTCAGATTTTCTAAAAGTTTTTGTAAGAGAAAAATCTTTATAACTGAAACTAACTATTCCTCAATTTCTCGTAAATAATAAACAATGAGATGCACAACAAAATTTACAATTTTATGAAGAAAAACCAACCAAAATTACCTGTTTATAAATTATTTATAACTCTGTGTATGTGTGTGTTTTCTATTAAAACTTTGTTGTCCATAGTTTTAAGGGAGCAAAAAAAAAATTTAAGTATAATAAATTATTATGTCAGATTTGACAGCTGCTGTCATGTATTTCCTGGTGAGACATGTTGCTTGGTTGGCTTATATTATTTTGAAATTTAAATAGTTAATGCAAAAGTAAATTTGCATGCATTGATTGAAAGAATTTAAAAAATCCTCCTCTAAAGTATTCCTCTTGTCAAAATTAGGAAATTTCAGTAAAACCTATTATATAGCCTGAACTACAGACAAGGCTATATTCTTACCTATAGATTGGTCTATAGTCTGAACTATAGATAAGATTATAGTATAAACTGTAGATTGGTTTAAAGTCCAAATTACAGATCAATAGATAGTCTGAATTATAGATCAGTTTATAATCTGATATATTGATCAGTCTATAGTCTGAACTTGTCGAAATGGAGTCCCTTTGAAACTACTTAACTCTGCGCAAGCAGTTAACTTCCCCGATAACCACAGTCAAAACTATTGATCAGTCTATAATCTGAAATATATATCAGTTTATAGTCTGGCCTATAGATCAGTTTATAATCTGAACTATAAATCAGTCTACAATCTGGCCTATATATCAGTCTATAGTGTCAACTATAGATCAGTATATTGTTTGAACTATAGATCAGTCTGAAATATATTTAGATCATTCTCGGTCTGCACTATAGATTAGTTTATTGTTTGAACTACAATTCAGTCTATAGTCTCAATTATGGATCGTTCTATATTCTGAACTATATACAGTCTATAGTATAAACTATAACTAGAGTCTGTGGTTTAAAGTATAGATCGCAATCAGTCTATAGTCTGAATTAAAGATCAATCTATAGACTGAACTATTGATCAGTCTATAGTCTGAAATATAGATCACACTACAGATCTGGTGTCCGAATATCTAGCCTATAGTTTGGACTATATACAGTCTATATTCTGAAGTATAGATCAGTATACATTCTGAACTAGAGACTAGTCTATAGACTGAATTAGTCTATAGACTAAACAATAGATTAGTCTATAGACTGAACAATAGATTAGTCTATAGACTGAACTATAGTATAAGCTATTGACAAGTCTATAAAAAGTCTGAACTGTAGAATACATTATAGTCTGAAGTATAGATTAGTCTGAACATTAGACCAATTTAAAGACCCCAGAAATCAGTAAACGAATAAAATATATTCTCAGGATCTTCTTACGCAAGTTTTTAAACAATAGATTAGTCTATAGACTGAACTATAGTATAAACTATTGACAAGTTTATACAAAAGTCTGAACTGTACATTAGACCAATTTAAAGACCCTAGAAATCAGTAAACGAACAAAAGATATTTTCAGAATCTTTTTACGCATGTTTTTATCTTCGTTAATATTAATTAAAGCAATTAAACTATAATTATATATAAGATTTCCCATAAAATTCACTTTAAACTATTTAAATGCAAATCATTTTTCGAAAGATAATAAAGTATGTGTGTACTACTTAATAAATATGAAGTAGTAGTAGACTTCCATAAAAATATATGTTTTTTGAAGTGTTGTTTTATTAATACATACTTTTTTTTTAATACATACATAAGTATATGCTGAAAACAAACTTGCTTATACATATATGTACATATTTCCTAACAAGTACTTATTCGTAGAAAAATTAAAACAAGAATTTTTCCAAGCACTTAATTAATGTCAGAAATGATATTTTTTTTTTTTTCTATAAAATGACTACAGCCATTATATAAAACTTGCAACGTTTCCCCTGTTAGCATTAGGCCCTGAAATTTTACATTACTTCCCCCTGGTTATACATACATATGTATAACATGTTATTGGTGTGTAAATGCTGTTATATTAGAGATACAGAACACATCCTTTAAACAAAACCTTCGACTAAATAGGAAATAAACACAACTTGATTTTTTGGAAAAAAAAGTTCCGAAAAAAATAGAAATTAGTAAAAGTAATATGCTTTTGTAGCACATTTTTAAATATTTAATTGGATGTACTTATGGCTTACTGCAGGCAAAAGTTTTTCTTTGTTTATAGGAAAACTTATATAGAATTGAAAAAGGAGAGAAAAATCATTTAAAACTTTTAATAGATAAATTAGTTTTGTCTACTTGTAACGCTACTAATAAGTACTTAAGTAACATGTGAATTATATTATAAATTTTGATTATTTAAAACAGTTTAAATAGTTTTTAGGAAAAACATATACAAATAGTTGTAATATCCTGGAAGTATGCTAAAGTTTTTTGAAATATAATGAAACATCTTGGAATATGCTCGAAAAAATATTAAATTTTATGAATTACATTTTTAATAGATTTTTGATATTTTTAAAAATGACCACTTTTACTATCCGCCCATTTTAAATATTCATTTTTTGGGACATGTTACGCCCACTACTACTAGTCCTCTCAGTTTTCCATGAAATATACTATATATCAGAGTCAAAGTAAAGACATTGCCATATTTTTCAATTTAATTTTTAGTTTGAACTAAGTTCAAAAGTAATTTTTTTATTGCTTAAATTAAATATTAAATTTTTATTTATAAAAATTCTGTTTACTTGAAATCAAAAACCTTATGTCAAATAAAAATCAATCAATTTATCAAATGTTATAATTTAAGGGTCACACACATACAAATGTAAATATGTTATTGAGGCTACTTATATAGAATTTGTACAGTAACAAATTAGGACATAATTATGTGATCAATCATATTTGTTATATTTATATATTTTTTTTCGTTCTATTAAGAAAACATTAAAAAGGAATAAACTAAATGTTAGCAAATTTAATAAGGAATTAATTATATGAAGTTTAACACTTACATACGAAATTTTATTATCACTAAATAATAATATTTCCATATGAAAAAACACCGTTAACATTTCAATTAAATTCATTTTAAAAAGTTAAGTCTATCTCTAAGGCTAAAGACTTTTAACATAATATAAAGCATACAGTTAGGTGTTGTAGAGAAAATATTGTGAAAACTTTTAAAAACATGCTAAATATTACAAACAGTGGAAAAAGCACTTTGCAAGTATATTATAACCCCTATATGTAGTTTGAAAACATAAATACAATGTAATAAGTATATACGATATGTATATCATAATATAGTTTAATGTAAAAAGTCTATTTGCTACAACATATTATCAACCCTATTTCCATTAAAACTTATTATACAAAACGAGACTTGTAAACACTATTTTATGCACTTTGAAAATTCAAAATTCATTTAAAAGTTTTTACAATACATAAACAAAATTTAGCCATTTATAGCATATACATACATACTTATGCATGTATGTATGTATTTTACAGAGACTATCAAATTGAAATTAAACTTTTGAGTTTATATTTTTTTTTACACTAAAGTTTTTTCGTTATTTTAAATTAAGCCGTTCTGCTTTTAGTTGCTAGACAAGTAAGTGTAGTAAATATAATTATATTTATGTTTGAAAATACTATTTTCATTTAATATTCACATTCAACTTTAAATTGGAATAACAAAAATGACACTGTTAATGTTGAAATATTTTGAAATGTCACAGTGACTGGCAGTTGGCTGAAAGAGTGAGAGAAAAATCTTTGCTTTTGACTAGTGATTAATATAAAATCCAAAATGGCAGCAAAGAATAGACTATAACTTTTTCAGCAACAAATGTGTGACAATTTGAATGTCATGAACGTTTCCGTTTCACATTTCTGTAAAGCAAGTTTTGCTTGCTGCAACATTTTTTTTTTTTTTTTGCCAGCAAATGAGCAGAGTAAATATTATTGCAATTCAACGACAGCAACAAAGACTTGAAGTGGAAATTGTTAAATACCAAAAGCCAGAAAGTACAATTTCTATATTTTTATAGTCTAACAGCAAACGTTGAATACGAACCATCAATGTTCCAACGCAGTTGGCAAAATCAAATAAGTAGGAAAAACTTTATTTTAAACTTCAATAAATGTTAAATAACTAACTAACAATTTACTTAAGTACTGAGAGTAGTATTTGTAATGTGTTTACATAGTTATTAGCAATAAAAAGTTAAATTGTATTCATTGGTATGCGCAAAGTAGATAAAATATTTGAATATTTATTTTTGAAGTTAAGCAGCGAAGCTTACTTAAGATGTTAATTTGCATTTATTACCTCGATAGTGGTAGGGAGGGGAGAGTAGAGGAGAGAAATGTTGTTAATATGGCTGACTGGGTTCCATTACTAAATCTGCTATTAGTTTGTTATGTATGTATACATACATATTTAAGTAGACATTTGAAATTAAATATAAAGTGAAAATTATAAAATAAATTGCATATTAAGACTCAGATTTCTTACTTTATGATTCTGGATCCTTATAAATAATTGGGAAATTTGAAATAATGCTTTTCGAAAATGAAGAAAATTTACATCTAAATTTCAACTCATTGCATCATGTTTTTTAGAGCAATGGTCATTACTGATGCCTCAAATTTAAAATTTAACGCATTCGATTTTTACTTACACCAGCATTAAATAATTATTTCATTACATTTGGTTAACATTTTTTTCAATTTATCTATCATTTCAGTTTTAACGATAAATCATCAATTGAAACATTTGATGAAGAACAATTTGAACTTTATAGTTTACAGCAACAGCAGCAACTAATACAAGAACAACTACAACAGCAACATACTAATCAACAGCAACAACAACAACTACAGCAAAATCATCATTATCATCAGGAACATCAGTATCATCATCATCAGCAACTACCTCAAACAAGAAATAAACGTTTAGAAAAATTAAAAAAATTAAAGTTACGAGAAATACAATCATTGGCATTAGAAGGTGGCGATACAGGACGAGGTTATTGCTCATGCGATGAACAGTGGAATGGATCGACATCATCGGCATCGTCACCAACATCTGTGTCACCTACACAACAACAACAACAACACCAACAGCCATTAGCACAGGACGAATCCCAATGCCAATTAAAGCTACAAAACCCAATGGAAACAACAACAACAATAATATCATCAACAACTTCGCCAACGCCAGCAACAAGAACAACAATAACAGCTACAACAACAAATACTACAAATACAGGCTCAACGGCAGTAACTACGACAAACATCAACATTGAAGCGCACGAAAAGACTTCCGAAAACGGAAGTGGAACAAACGATGCGACCGGCGGAAGCGGATACAACAGGACAAACAAACAATGCAATGGTTCATCAGCAATGAGCCTACAAAAACAACAACATCATCAGCAACAACAGCACAATGAACATGATAAAATAAACATCATGATGGTAGAGGAGCAGGAAAATTTTAATGAAACTAACAACTTCACCGATACCATCAGTATAAGTCCTGGCAGCAGTAGTAACATTAAAACCATAACACTACGACGCAATCCCATACAGCATCGTCTGAAACAACAACATCATGTACGTTTTTCAGATGAAAAAAATTTCTCTGATTAGTTTAAACACGCTAAAACGGGGTAAAATTTAGTTTTGTTACGTTCTTTTTTAAAAGGTTTTGTAACGGAAGTTTTACGTGTTTTTTTATAAATTTTATTTTGTTGTTGGCGCAAAACAAACAAAACAAGGATAAACTTTAATTAACATTTATTTATATATATTTTATTTTCTTTATCACTTTATCACATAAAACAAACAAACAAATCACCAACATTTTAATGATACAGTATGAGAAAGTATGAAATGTATGTTGCTTAAGTATAATTATCTAGTTGCGAACACTAAAATGTAAAAGTTTTCTTTCTTTTTTCTTTTCTTTTTGGCGGGTCAAGGGGTCACAAATAATAAAAACAGCCACAACAGAACAACAGAATGAAACTGATTACAATAATTATGAAATTAACATAAAACTTGTGGCAAAAATAAACCTTGCTATTCCAAGCTTTCATTTTGTTCAGTTAACTTTGAGGAAAAAAATCACATAAAATTATACAAAAAAATATTTTATAAACTATTTTAAGAGAAAACTTTTTTTACTTCTTTATTTGTTGGCGTTTCATACAACTACAAATCAATACACACAACACAAATTAGTTTTATATCTAAAGATATAAATAGAGAAAATTATGGAAAAGAGGTCATAAAAATGTTAAGAAAAAAATTATGACAAATGGACATTACTTGACATATTCAGATTTATCATACGTTGTTTTTTTTTTTTTACAATACATTGTTAACTGTAAAAGTTTTTCTATGTTATTTCTGTTAAAACTGAAAGCTGAAATATTACTACAATAGACACTTTTTATAAGTTGTCAAAGACAATGTTAGTAATTCTTTTAACTTTTTGTATCTGAATTGACATTTTGTATCTTAGAACTTCTAAAGTTTAAGACATAATCAAGCCAAGAATCCATCAACAATTCCATTATTGATCAAAGTTATTAACTTTTAATTTCGATTTTGAATTGAACTACAACATACTTTTAGGAACTTCAAATAATTTCTTTAAAATGCATTTATTTGAATCATTTACAAACGAATTTCTAAAGAGAGAGTTGGATTTTCAGTAAGTTAGGGTCCAAGGCTGAAATAGATCTTCTTCTATATAAATCAATCCAAAAACAAACATTTGACTCAGAATTACGACAGAAATCTAAGAATAAATCTCGAGCATGTGAAAAAGTTCAGTCAATTACACAGTCTATTGACTAGACTATAGACTAGACTAAAGACTAGATTATATACTAGATTATAGACTAGATTATAGGCTAGACTATAGAGTAGACCATAGACTAGACTATAGACTAGACTATAGATTAAACTATAGACTAGACTATAGACTAGACTATAGACTAGACTACAGACTAGACTATGGACTAGACTATAGACTAGACTATAGACTAGACTATAGACTAGACTATAGACTAGACTATAGACTAGACTACTAGACGACTATAGACTAGACTATAGACTAGACTATAGACTAGACTATAGACTAGACTATAGACTAGACTATAGACTAGACTATAGACTAGACTATAGACTAGACTATAGACTAGACTATAGACTAGACTATAGACTAGACTATAGACTAGACTATAGACTAGACTATAGACTAGACTATAGACTAGACTATAGACTAGACTATAGACTAGACTATAGACTAGACTATAGACTAGACTATAGACTAGACTATAGACTAGACTATAGACTAGACTATAGACTAGACTATAGACTAGACTATAGACTAGACTATAGACTAGACTATAGACTAGACTATAGACTAGACTATAGACTAGACTATAGACTAGACTATAGACTAGACTATAGACTATAGACTAGACTATAGACTAGACTATAGACTAGACTATAGACTAGACTATAGACTAGACTATAGACTAGACTATAGACTAGACTATAGACTAGACTATAGATAGACTATAGACTATAGACTAGACTATAGACTAGACTATAGACTAGACTATAGACTAGACTATAGACTAGACTATAGACTAGACTATAGACTAGACTATAGACTAGACTATAGACTAGACTATAGACTAGACTATAACTAGACTATAGGACTAGACTATAGACTAGACTAAGCTAGACTATAGACTAGACTATAGACTAGACTAATAGACGAGACTATAGACTAGACTATAGACTAGACTATAGGACTAGACTATAGACTAGACTATAGACTAGACTATAGACTAGACTATAGACTAGACTATAGACTAGACCTATAGACTAGACTATAGACTAGACTATAGACTAGACGATAGACTAGACTATAGACTAGACTATAGACTAGACTATAGACCTAGACTATAGACTAGACTATAGTACTAGACTATAGACTAGACTATAGACTAGACTATAGACTAGACTATAGACTATAGACTAGACTATAGACTAGACTATAGACTAGACTATAGGCTAGACTATAGACTAGACTATAGGCTAGACTATAGACTAGACTATAGACTAGACTATAGGCTAGACTATAGACTAGACTATAGACTAGACTATAGGCTAGACTATAGACTAGACTATAGACTAGACTATAGACTAGACTATAGACTAGACTATAGACTAGACTATAGACTAGACTATAGACTAGACTATAGACTAGACTATAGACTAGACTATAGACTAGACTATAGACTAGACTATAGACTAGACTATAGACTAGACTATAGACTAGACTATAGACTAGACTATAGACTAGACTATAGACTAGACTATAGACTAGACTATAGACTAGACTATAGACTAGACTATAGACTAGACTATAGACTAGACTATAGACTAGACTATAGACTAGACTATAGACTAGACTATAGACTAGACTATAGACTAGACTATAGACTAGACTATAGACTAGACTATAGACTATAGACTAGACTATAGACTAGACTATAGCTAGACTATAGACTAGACTATAGACTAGACTATAGACTAGACTATAGACTAGACTATAGACTAGACGATAGACTAGACTATAGACTAGACTATAGACTAGACTATAGACTAGACTATAGACTAGATCTATAGACTAGACTATAGACTAGACTAATAGACTAGCTATAGACTAGACTATAGACTAGACTATAGACGAGACTATAGACAGATATAGACTAGACTATAGACTAGACTATAGACTAGACTATAAGACTAGACTATAGACTAGATAGACTAGACTATAGACTAAGACTATAGACTAGACTATAGACTAGACTATAGACTAGACTATAGACTAGACTATAGACTAGACTATAGACTAGACTATAGACTAGACTATAACTAGACTATAGACTAGACTATAGACTAGACAGAGACTAGACTATAGACTAGACTATAGACTAGACTAATAGACTAGACTATAGACTAGACTAGACTAGACTATAGACTACTATAGACTAGACTATAGACTAGACTATATAGACTAGACTATAGGCTAAACTGTAGACTAAACTATAGACTAGACTATAGACTAGACTATAGACTAGACTATAAATGAATTCAAAACTTCTTGATTTCGGTTACAAATACAAATGACTACGAAGTCGAGAAAAATTCGGAAGTACTTGGTTTGGATTACGATTCAAAATAATGGTAAAGCAAGAAGCAATATTTAAAAAAGAAATCACATGGATTTGATTGTGAAATGTAAAAGAATGCGATGTTAAAAGAATTCGGAAGTACTTTAGTTCGGCTATTCATGTAATAGTGTGTGTATTGATTTCAGTAGTTTCAAGAAAAACAAACATTATTATGAAATTATATCATAAAACATTCATCTGTTTTTTTTTTTTTTTTAATTTAAAAACAAAAGAAAACTAACGGTTTAACCGTTCTTTTCACCATAAAAAATCAAGCACTTTATCTAATAATAACGACTGCTATTTTCAAAATAATTGAGAGAAGTAAAGTTCAAGATTAAGTGCTTAGAAAAAACCAAACAAACAAAAAGGAAAACATACAACTCTTAGACTGCACCTATTCAACTATATTAATAAATAATAAATAATAATAATAATATAAAATATAAAAAGTTTTTTTATAATGTTGTAAATAAAACTAGAATTGTAAGTTAAATTTAAATCAATAATATAAAAATTAAGTTGTGAATTTTAAGTAATTGTCAATGTATAAATTTGATACTAAATGTAGGAAATTTCATATAAAAATTAATATTAAATAAAAACAAGTATTAAAAATAATATTTTAAATATTTTTAAACTAGCATTAAAAACTAAATAGAAAAATCTAAAAAATTGGCAAATTAAAAATAAAACTTTGAAGCACGAAGTTATAAAGAATAAAGTTTCATTGAAATTTACTAACATGCCAATATTTTTTTTTTATATAATTAGTTTGTTAACAAAGACTAAAGGCCATTTTGAAAATAATAAAAACTTTTGTAAATAAATAAAGACAATTTAAAACCAATTTAACACAATTATTGGTTAATACTTCCCGAGATGTATAGTTTGGCCCCTAGTTTTAGTCTTTACTCTCCTGTATGCATAATTGTAAATAGTAAATTTAAATAGATTCAGTCTTAAAAATTGGCATAATGTTAATAATATAGACAAAATTATATAAAAAATATATTATTAAAATAACTGAAAAACTAAATGAAAAAACGTAAAAATCAAGAAACTTAACATTGATGAAAAGGAAATCTTACTTAACCAAATTATATAATATATAAAAATAAATAAAAACCCCAGAAAAAAACCTAGCTAATAGAAAAAATTGTTTAAATAAAAACCAAACAATGTTCAACAAAAAAAAAAAAAAAAAAAAAAAAAAAAACACAAAAAATTTCAAAGTTTTTCTATCATCATATTATAAATACATCAACTGCATACATAGTAGTATAGAAAAAAATACAAAAAATACAATAATATATTTTATTTAAATTGAATTATTTGTTTTCAATTGTATATTTAGTTTAATTTAAATTCTCTTGTTTACTTTTTTTTATTATGTTTAAGTATAAAAAAAAATACGAGGAAAAAATAAATGCTCAATTGTTTTATATTGTCGAAATTATATTTTTTGGATCTAGTTAAATATGAGAAAAAAAATTAAATTAAAAACAAATAAAAAATGAAACGATAAGAAAACAAACATTAAATATACATAAAATACATATATAAAATGTAGAAAAATAAGTTATATTAACAAAAGTTATAGTTAATAATGAAATAAAACAAAATAAAACCCGAAAAAAATGATAAGAATTGAAATAAATAGTAAAAAAAACAAAACGAATAAACTAAACTAATATTAAAAAAAATAACGGAAAATTGTTTTATTTGAAAAGGAAACGGAATAAAAGCTTTAAACAGCGCGTAAACACGCTATTATCACATCAATAGAACATTTTGTTTAATAGAGTTTTACACTGCATTACCGGTTTATATACATAGCTCTACTAAATGTAACTGCATTAACAGTTTGGTAAATGAAACTTTAATCCTTTTTATACCCTACACCACTTAAGTGGGGAGGGTATATTGGATTTGTGCTGATGTTTGTAACGCACAATAATATTGGTCCTATACCCACCTTAAAGTATACCAATCGGCTTAGAATCATTTTCTGAGTCGATTTAGCTATGTCCGTCCGTCCGTCCGTCCCTCTGTCCGTCCATGTAAACCTTGTAATCAAACTACAGGTCGCAATTTTGAAGATAATTCAATGAAATTTGGCACATGATCTTCTATTGTCCCAGGGACGAAGCCTATTGAAAATGGTTAACATCGGTCCATTATTTCACCTAGCCCCATACAACTGAACCCCCGAATAGGGCTTGTAAAACTTGTAATCAAACTACAGGTCGCAATTTTGAAGATAATTCAATGAAATTTGGCAGATGATCTTCTATGGTACCGGAGACGAAGCCTATTGAAAATGGTTAAGATCGGTCCATTATTTCACTTAGCTCCCATACAACTGAACCCGACGAATAGGTATTTTAAGTTTATAATTATGTTTAATATACTCGTATCTCGACAAAAGCTGCAAAACCAAGTTCTATACTAGCCTTGATGACTCTCATGAATTTTATAATTATAGGGTCTCATTTGACCATAGCCCCTATACAAATCCCCCTTCAAAATTTGACTTAAATGTCCACAATTTTATTCAGCAATAAATGGCATAAGTATAATTCAAGGCAAGGAGAAATTCAACTAACAGGTGTAGGGTATTATATGGTCGGCCTCACCCGACTATAATTTCTTACTTGTTTTTTTTAGACTATCAATGCTT